AACCCATTTCCCCGCACATCTTACACGGTTTATTTTTCCATTTCTTGAAATCCATTCAATTTTTTGAGCGTCGATTCTTGTCTTCCCCCCTAGCCATGTTTCGGGTTGTAATATGCTTTATTGTTTATTAATCAGGGCTAAGAATGAAGGGATTGAAGCCAAATAATTTCTAATTTGGGTAGCAGGTTCATTTTCTGAATACTGGACTCGTACTCATACATCGGATTTTCTCTTTTCACCACAGTTGTTCATACCTAAATGTGCAATGATCGAGGAGCAAACCTGTGAAGTGTGAAATCAGAAGCACACAAATGTTGTAGTCGCCATAGCGGAGAATATATTGGTAAGGTTATTAATAGTTACTGTATAAGCCATTTGTTGTTATTTTTTTTAACTTTTACTTTCACAACGTCCATAAGTTTAAAATTATAAGTTCTTGATACAGGATTCATCATGGATTAATTATTTAGTCTGAGTGTGATTTTGTACTTAAGGGGGATGATATGTAGCTTGGTCTTTATTTGGAGAGCAATAGATGTCGGCTTTATGTAATTCTTGTTTCTTTTAATGGTTAAAGTAGAAAAAAAAAAGCCTGGACAAATATGAAAGAGCTTTTTTTTTTCTCTCTTTCTTATTGAATGATGCTTACTTAATAGGGAGTCAGGGACGTGAAAACATTGATTTTTCAGTACGTTTAGCTGTAGTGATGACCTGGGGCTTGGTTTTTGTGACGGCATTTGTAGCATGTGTTTTTAAACATTGATTTGGTTGTACAATGTTGTGGCTCATTGTCAAGTTTGTTTGTGGATTGACAGGGGAAGCTTGAGGACAGGATTTTAGGGGATAAATAGAAGAACAATGCATTTCTCTACTTCCACGGGTGCAATTTTTTGCTTTCATAGGTTTGTTTGATGGGATCTGTTTTGCTTTGCTGTATTGTTCCCATCTTCTTCTTAAACTCACAGATTAAGAGATTTATTGTATTTGATTTTTTGATTGTATGTGTATTTTTTAGAGAAGTTTGATTTTACTGTGTCCTCGGGTACAAGCATAATTTAATTTGAAGTTGTGAATCTCTGCTACTTCACACTTTCACTCTTACTGTGGGATTTTGCCTATCATTTTTTTTTTCATTTATTTTTCATTTGTTTTTGGGTAGCAACCCGTTGCTTAATAACTAGTTCTTATTCTGAATCCTAATATGTTAGTATCTTCCCCGAGTCTAATATTTAGTAATGAAAGCTGCTCTGTTTTGGTGGTTATCCAATACATAGTTGAAAACAACAAATGAAGTAAATTGATAACCCCTGTATTCAATATCATTTGCTTCATTTATAGCTAAGAAGGTTTAGATGCCAGTTAAGCTTAAGGAAAAATGCAACTATTCATGGTTTGGTACAGAACTTAGAATTGCTGAGGATGCTTTTGATCTTGTTTCTCGGTGGTTGTGCTTGATGTGCAGATTACGAAAAGCTCATGCTAATACTTCACATGCTTGTGGTGGTGGTTCTGCAGTAGATGAGAATGGGCTCTTTGATCATTTTCATGGAAGTTACGATTGATGTACCTCATTTCTTTTTGTTTGTAGAAGATAGAGACTTCAATAGTCTGAATAAATATATCTGTAACATTTTTTATTTTGTTTCGAACTCTAAAATTGAGGAATTGAATGGATATATTTTCAA